GTGAGGAAAGGGTTCTGAGAGCCTTGGAAGTGATATTCGTGATCACCGCGAAATTCTCTATCGAATGGTGTATGAAGTGTCGAAAAATAAATTTCACTGCAAGGCTGCCCTGGGTGCATCTTACATGTGTTTTGTAAAATTGAATAAACTACATGTTATGTCATACTGGAAACTGAACACGATTTGAGAAATTTCATAGGGCAGCCGAGGACAGGGGCACTGAAGCCATAGGTCAGGTCCAGGTCATGTAAATTTGTATAGGGTAACTCATTTAATAGTCTTGTATAGAAGAAATATGATTTCCACATACTGTGTTGACTTCTTTTGTGTATAAATGATTTGAAACGATGGGTGAAATATGAGCATGAAAGGGAACCTTTAAGACCTCATTCATTCATTCAAACAGTGCTGTACAACGGAATGAGAAAGAAAAGGAAAAAAACAGATGAAAAAAGAAATCCCCATATTTGTCGTAGCTCTAATGAATAGGTGACACGTATTATTCGTAAATAAAACGAATGTTGTACAATATTCTTTTTCTTCCTTTGTTTCCCTTCCAATAAAAATACAAGATTTCTTAAACAAGCTTTTTCACAGTAACATCCGTTTGTACCAGAATATTCAAATCAAGAAACTCACGAGATAAGATATGTAGTATGGAATTCTTATGTAGAACTGTGACCATTTACACCTTTTTAGATAAAAAATATATAATTGAATCCGATGTGTGAAGTAGACGCAGACAGACTTTATCGGAGTGTCGCTAAGTTCACTTTTTATTTGAATACGCATTATCCAAAATATGTGTGAAAGCTCACTTTTATTTAACTGAAGAACAACTTTTCATTCTCCCTGTATTCAATTTTAAATTATTTTCCATTGATTAAAGAAAATTCTTGGGAGTTTCGCATACCTTCTGCTCATTTTCATGTTTTATTTCAGCATCAAAAACATCTTCCTTCATTCAAATCAATAATGTTAAAATTTTATACTATACATTATATACACAACGACAATATGAATTTGTCTTGACGGAAAAATAACACACAAGAAATGGATGACACACTTATTACTATTAAGCAAGCAGTAAAAAGCAAACTGAACAAAAAAAAAGAGAAATTAAACTAGCGTTATTGTGGGTGAACCCTTTTGGGCTAAAACTGATGCATTATTTGTTTCAATTATTGTTTGTGATGAGGCTTTTCCTAACGGTTTTGGTTCAATATAGTGACCAAGTTGTCCTAATGATACAAATGCGCGTTTTTGTACTTGTTTACTTTTGTGACTATATTCACTGTGTTCTTGTTGTTGATAACGATTTTGATCACACACATAAGACGATAAGGAATGAAGATAAGAAGATTCGGAGCATGTTGATGATTCTGCGGATGTAGAAGCGGTTCCTGTTGATGATAATAATGATAATAAATCACGATTTGAATCTGTACAAATGGATGATGATGGACGATGAATATCAAGTGTAATAGCTTTTCGCAAATTTCTAGAAAAATACAAAGATTATAATCATTGTAAAATATTTTAATATAATTATCAGAGTTAATTCAATTCGTCAAGAGATGAGAAGCAGCTTTTTCAGTCTACTTTGTAGATAAAAAATTTCAAATAGATAGAATAAGACTCACTTTATTAAATGTGAAACAGTATCTTTTTGAGCTCGTGATACATTTTTTCCATTAATTTTTACAATATAATCACCCGCTCTCAAGCCAGCTACAGCTGCTGATGAATTATTATCAACTCGACCAACAAATGTTGGACATTGACCAACAACCGTAAAACCAAAATTTTCTTGTCCACGTGGTATAATAATTTGATGTTCTTCCATTTTCATAACGTCACGATTTATCGCCGATATATGTTTCTCAATATGTTCAATAACTTTTCGATGACGAAATATACCTACATCATCTTGCAATAAATAAAACCATCCATGAACCTTAAATAAATTCTTAGATATCAAATACAATCATCTGAGATGAAATGAATCTGTATTTAAAACATACTTTTCGTTTTTTTATCAAGTTTTTGATACCAAACGATAAACATCCATGTAATTGAATATCACTTAATCGGACAAACAATAATAATAAAGACTTATCTCAATAATTGAGCGAAAACTTACCTATTATTTTCATTGTATTCATATACGGATAAACAAACACGCTTTTTTGAATCATCACCGGTTAATTCAAACGAAAATTTTTCATTAAATGTTGGATTATTATTCAAATTAGGAACAACACGTGTATTGCACTCCAATGGTTTTTCATCAGGAATAATCGTAATTTTGACGAGAATGTTTGAACAGCATAAAGTACGTTTTACATCAATATTTTTTACTTGTATTACTAAAAAAACAATACATTATACAGCACCAGCTTCTATAACTGGATATTAATCGCGCACTTACTGTGCAATGTCAATAAATTTTCATTTGCTACGAGACTCAACTGAATTATTCCTGTAAAAGACAAGACAATAAAATAGAATATTAATCGAATTATTATCTCTCCAGGTTTTTATTGAAAACATGTGAGCAAAGTTAAGAGGAACACAATTGGAGAGAACTCGTTTGCATTAATCGAACGCATGCTCGATTTTCTCATCCAGTTGCTGAAGAAAGAACATCAGTAAACATACCTCGATTGAATTGTAAAAATGATTGTCGACGTTTTGAGTTTTCATATTCGCACATTGTCGAATTTAGTGTTGAGTATGGGGTTTTATGTAAACTGTTATTTAATACTGGTTTTTGATGAAGTCGATTTTGCTGTTGATTAAATAAATAGCTATGATAATGTGAGGATGATAAATCGGTATTTAAACTTATTATTGAATCATCAAAATTTTTCACGTTATTCTTTGGTTTCTGAATTGTTTGTTTAATAAACGATTTAAAATTTGGTGATGATAACTCAGAATAATCTAATTTCGATTTGATACTTTCTGATGAAGTTTTTAAATTTGGTGTTAAAAATTTCAATGGAGAACGAGACATTCGAACTAAAAATAAAAATAAAAAGTATGTACATTCCTCGATTAAAACGCGAAACCATGCTGGTTAATTTCCATTCAGTAAAATTAAAACAATTTACGTATTACAAAGTAGTACTTTTTAAAGCATTAATGGATACTTGCTGTAGCTCTGCTTAAGTGCATTGCATTATATGAGAAAAAAGATAATCTAATCAAAAGTTGCCAAAAAATTCTAGTACAACCTCCATTTATACAGATATTCCTCAATAATTTTTTGCAATCCAAACAAAAATAGATTGATAGTGTAGCTGAATTAGATCATCAAATTTAATTTGTTTGAAAGGGTTGAAGTAAGAAAGCTAATATCCCCAAAAAAACCTGGAACTATTAGTATAACTGTCAACAACGACGGTTCGCTGAAATAAACTCTTCATGAATGACTAACACTTATTTTACTCTTATTGACAAACAACCGTTCGAACAGACTGATATGGCTCATGAGGGAACCTTCCCAAGTGTCCGATCACTTTTTCCTTAAAACATACACGATTGTGGGTCATCTTTGATGCTGATCACGAATGTGATATCCGTTTCTGCTTCTACGCCTTTCTGGGATGGGTCTCTGAAATCCAGGCATCCGAAGACCCAATATGAACTTCCAGCTGAAAATATTTTGGCACTGAAAGATTGTAGAGCACGTTGAGTTATTTACGTGGAAAAATGTTCAGAATCGAACAAGTTTTCGCAGAGATAGAAACATGTTAGGGTTCAAAAACCTGAAATATTCTGGTTCCCTACCATACTGGATTAGAAAGCAAATTTTTTTTCTATTTCTACGAAAACTTGTTCGTTGATTCTAAACATTTTCCCGCATAAGTAATTCAACGTACTCTACAATCTGCCAGTGCCAAAATATGTTCAGCTGAAAGTTTATAGGGGGTCATCGGTCCCGTTCTATCTGTGTTCAAATTTCCCATACTACTGTCGAACTATCCGTCTTCTGCGCAAAAGAAAAGATCAACTGCCCATTTTTATTTCAAATCGTAAAGAACGTGTTATCAGAAGGTGTTTGTCAACAGATTATCTTCTCTCTCTGTGGTTTGTTTCTTCTTCGATTGTATTTTTCACACATTGGAATAACGCTGTCAAAATTATAGCAATTTTTCTATGAAAAATTTGTTTAAAAATGAAAAACAAAATCGTTTCTTATTTATCATGCAAAATCTCACACACACAAAGATATATATTGTTTCAGCTATAAATATGAACATATTGATGTAGAAACATTTAAAATATGATATTTGATAATTGAAGAGCAGAGTTGAAGTCAAATTCAAATAAACAATTAAGTCTTAACTCAAATAAGATCTCAAATGTTGAAAGAATAGATGTGTTTTTGATGTTTGATTTTTAAATTGTTTGTTTAATGAACAATTTAAAATTCTAATGAAATTGTTTGGATCAGAAATTGGATCACTACATGCAACAAAACTTACCAGAAGATGTGTTTAGAAGAACGGACATTTCTATGCAAACAGATATGAATAACTTAAACTGTATATTATACGAACAAACATATATATATATATATATATATGTTGTCTAGAATATATACCCCTTCTATTACGACTATTTATCAACTGTATATATATATTTCAGCTGTTAATTGATAACTTTTCCAAATGTTTCTATTTAAGACACGGTGTGTGAAAAAAATTTACAAATTTTCTCATTTATATACCAATACATATTTATTAGAATTCTATTCATATAGACGATAAATGTATATTTAAAATTTAGAATGTTGTCACACGTTTGACAGTTCATTATCTCCATGTTCATATTTCACCTCATGATTAATATAATTCTAGCGTAAAAAAGTATTCATTTAATAACTATGTTGAGTGTACATTCTGTGTGACGAGTTTATATCTCTCATATAGAATATGATTTAGATTTTCTTATAGCTAAACGATCGAAGCTTACTTCTTCTAATTATATTATACAACCAAATCAAAGTACATAATTACATAATTTTAATAACTTATGTAAACAAATAAAAACATATACAGCGAAGAGTCTATATACTTTCGCATATTATACGCTGAAGGAATGATTATTGCGAATACAATACATCCAACAGCGACTTTAAATGTTAGTGACAAAATACTAGTTGTACGATGAGAGAAACAATTTTTTCACTTTTTTTCTAAACTAAATTCAACTGGTATAGTTATTCTTAGAGACTAAAAGCTTATTTAAAAAAACTTATTTCTTTACTAGAAAAATTCTAAGTTTCTTTAAATAATTGTATGTCAGTCCGTATAGAAATTGATTTCTTTCACCATCAATCATTAGGCAAGTTATTAACTTTCTTTTGATCATTAATAGATTTATTAAATACATTGGATTACTTACCATCATAAAATTTAAATGCGCTTGTCGTATATTTAATGTGATGAAGCTAACAAAGCAACAAAAGTTTTGTATTATACTTTCATTTTTGTGTTATATAGTAAAAAGGTTATAACGTCTATTTTCAAATTATAAGCACATTCGTCCCCTCTCTCTTTCTCTCTCTCTCTCTCACTCTTTCTGTGCACGATGATCTTTGTCAATATCGTATCGTTTCCAACATATATGTGCGAACTTTGATACTATTTACAAGAACGTTCAAAATATATCTATGATTTGTGAAGAACGAAGGATCAGATTCATATTCGTTGTTTCTATCATCTTTACAAAAAACTGGACAGAATAGAATGAAAGAGGAAAAATGTATTCAGACCAAAGTGCGTCTATTTCTCCAACGGTTACAATTTACTTTTCTATAAATATGCGTTTAAAAAGAGAGAAACGAAAACATTTATACTGTTGTATGTTTCATATTATTTTAATGAATACTCTATTCAGCACAAAATTAATGATCCTTCTATGTACATAAACTATAAATTATCAGGATATCTGTAGAGCACATCTTTAACTAGAATGCAATTGTACTACGCACAAGTTGCGATGTCGACAGACTGTATCCGATCTGAATCTGCCAGAAGCGGTCCGCAGTCAATAGGGAGTTCACCACATCATGTTAATTGTGATTTTAATTCCTTTAAAAAGTATATTTAAGAAAAATGAATTGAAAACGAAAGGACGGGGAACGGTTTCTGCTAGAAAATGGCCCAGTATGATTTTAGGTGAAAATGATCTGAAATAATTCCCTTTTCACTTCCCAACACTTCCCACTTTCAAAAATTCCTTCTCGTGTCTTTCTGGCAAAAATTACTTTTCATTTTTCGCCACTAGTTCAACAAAAGCCATTTACCCTTTTCCAAAAATTTCGCGTCCGATTTCCAAGTACTTGAGCAAAGCTCATACATAGTAACATACAGAATTTTCTGGGCTTCAAAATAAGCTATAAACTAAGGCTTCAACACGCCGATTTTGCCGACACTTTGACGCCGACAGTTGGGCGCATGTACGACAAAAGTATTCAGTAAGAGTGCATTTGTTAAAGTATGACGCATAACGATAAAACTTTCTATAAACAAACTTGGTACGCTGTGAGAGCTTTTTCTATATTACTATACTCATACCCAACTGTAATCTGTATTTATTTAATCTTCATCGATACTCACGCTCACCCACACCCGCACCGATGCCTTTGAACGTCAACTATCGTTGCGCTAAAATTTCGTTACGTCCAAATGACGTGCACCGAAATGTCGTTGCGCCCAAGTGTCGTGTGGCCAAATGTTGGTATATCATCTTAGCACTCTCCAGGCTGTCTACAAGGCTTTGTCACAGGAATGTTTTGGTATTTTTCACGTCCTTTGTAGCCATTCGTAAATCGATTGCACTTGCGTGAAAAAGCCTTATAGACAGCCTGGAGATGTCTTATTTTCCTCAGAATTCTTTACTCTATCAGGCTATATGGTTTGCAAATTTTTTTGACCAAAAGCCATGTACTTGGTTTTCTAGCGGTCAGGTTTTCCAGAAACTCTGTTATCAAATTTTCTCATGAAACGGAAATACCCACCTCATGTGATAGAAAACTCTTCAGGCTATCCAAAACAGTATTCAGATTGGTTCCAGCTTTTACCGAAAAATAAAAAACAAAGGAGTTCTTTTGATGATGACACACTGTACTGCATAGATAACACCCAAACACTTCTCTTCGATATCGTTAATGACTGGTCCCAACTGTCTGAATATTCTGACTAGTTCACTTTATAGAGAATTTAAAGGACTATCAAATGGTATATTTTTGAAAAATATACAATTTTTTATTACCTCAGAAAAATGACTAAAGGTGTTTTGAAAGACTTATCTATGGCTCATTTTGAAGCTCGGAAAAGTCTGTCTTCCTATATACAAAACAGTCCGATCCTGATTAGATGAGTTCAAGAAATATTCTAGAACTATATTTAAAGTGCTAAGATAGGTCAAAATGATGATATCGGCCTAGTATTTCGATAATTTTCCTGTATGGGCATATTTTTGAGAACCTCTTTTATAGCTAGCTTATTTTGAAGCCCAGAAAATTCTGTATGTTACTATGTATGAGCTTTGCTCAAGTACTTGGAAATCGGACGCGAAATTTTTGGAAAAGGGTAAATGGCTTTTGTTGAACTAGTGGCGAAAAATGAAAAGTAATTTTTGCCAGAAAGACACGAGAAGGAATTTTTGAAAGTGGGAAGTGTTGGGAAGTGAAAAGGGAATTATTTCAGATCATTTTCACCTAAAATCATACTGGGCCATTTTCTAGCAGAAACCGTTCCCCGTCCTTTGACGAAGAGAGAGAGAGAGAATTACTTTTCTTCTGAAGAACAAATGGCGTTGGACAACAGAATATACAAAAAATTTCAAAGTCCAAAAATCAGTCTTCTTTTACTTGTGGCATTTATGACATCGAATCTGGGCTGCTATTTGAGAGAAGGATGTGCAATAATCAATCTCCAATATCAGGAGAATATTCTACCTTTTTCAGAAGTTTTCTACCTTTCATAGTTCTCCAGATCATCC